TTTTTTTTTTTTCTTAAATTACATTTTTGCATTTTTATTTGTGTGTGTATGTATGCATGTTGGCCACTTGTATGCCAGAGGTCAGAGGACAACTTGTAAGAGTTGGTTCTCTCCACAATCTCTCTAAGTTTTAGGAATGAAACTCAGGTTATCCTGCTAGCTTAGGTTTTCTTTTTCAACATGATTTTTAATCTATTTTAAAAATGTAAACAGAAGCTGGGTATGGTGGCGCAGGCCTTTAATCCCAGCACTCGGGAGGCAGAGGCAGGCAGATCTCTGTGAGTTCCAGGTTAACTGGGGCTACAGGGAAACCGAGTCTCAAAAGGACAAAAAACAAAACAAAACAACAACAAAAAAAAACAGAGAATGCCATAGCTTAAAAATGTTTCATTTTCCTGTATACCTGAAAGGAAGGAGGTCAAGATGGCAAAGCTCTCATTCAAAATCACCCTCTGTGGGTTTGGTGGGGCAGGACTGTAATGCCACTTCTCAAGAACCTGGCATAGTAAGTTTGAATTTCAAGGCTTGCCTGGGCTACAGAAGGAATTCTAGGCCAACCCGTGAGGGGGGGGGGGGTGGGGGGGGGGGGGGGGGGGGGGGGGGCGGCGCTTGGTGCGGCACCACACGCCTTTAATCCCAGCACTTGGGAGGCAGAAGCAGGAGAAACCTCTGAGATGGAGGCCAGCCTGGTCTACATAATGAGTTCCAGGCCAGCATTGCACATATGTGGTGCACTTACATACATACAGGCAAAATACTCATACACATAAAATAAAAATAAATTTTAAATCATAAAAAAATACATAATACAGAGGACAAAGATGTAAACACTCTTAGTAGGTCAGACCCTCCCTGTTACTTGGCTGCTTTGCATACAGACTCTGTGTCACTGGTCACCACTGTACTTAGCATGTGCTCACCAGAGTGTGACTGTCTCTCATGCTGGACCCTAAGCTCTGTGAGGGTAAAGACAGTGGAGGAGTTCCTATGCTTTGCTGAATCCCCAGCATCAAATATAGTACCATGCATACAGCAGCGTTTAATAACTTCTGACGCAGACAGATTAGTGGCCATGGGGAACTTTATGAGATTTTAATTTAAAATATTTTTAAATTATATGTGTGTGTGTGTGTGTGTGTGTGTGTGTGTGTGTGTGTGTGTGAATATGAGTACAGGGACCTATGGAGGCAAGAAGAGGGCACCAGATACCCTGGAGCTGGAGTTACAGGTGATTATAAGCTGCCCAATGTGGGTGCTAGGAACCAAACTGGAGTCCTCTGCAAGAGCAATACACTTACCAGCTGATGACATTAAAAAAGAGTCCATATGGATTTCCTCATTGCCTGTTTTATTTATTTATTTATTTATTTATTTAATTTTATGAGAAAGTCTTGTTTTGTAGGACATGCTGGCCTCAAACTTGTGATCTTCCTGCCTCAGCCTATGAAGTGATGGAATTATAGGCCTATGTCGTCAGCCTCTGTCTTTAAGGTTTTTTTCACTGCAGGGTCTCACTTTGTAGCTGTGGCTGGCCTAGAAATTCACCTGCCTTGGCCCCTTGAGTGCTGGGTTTGAAGGCATGCATCACCATGACCAACCATATAATTTTTTTTTTTTTTTTTTGCTTTTTTGAAACAGGGTATCCCTGTAGCCCCAGCTGGCCTGGAACTCACTATGTAGACCAGGCTGGCCTTGAAATCACAGAGATCCGCCTGCCTCTGCCTCCCAAATGCTGGGACTACAGGCGTGTGCCACCACGCCCGGCTCTATTTATTTATTTATTTATTTTTTATCATGAACTCTATGGCTTCCAAAATCCAAACTTGAAAAACGAAAGCATTTGGGCTGGAGAGATGGCTCAGTGGTTAAGAGCACTTGCTGCTCTTCCAGAGGACCCTGAGTTCAGTTCCCAGCATCCACTTAGGATGGCTTACAACTAACTATAACTCCAGCTTCAAAGGATCTGAGACCCTCCTCTGGCTTCCAAGGGCCCTCACATATATGTGACATACATTCACAAAGACACACACACACACACATGCTCGCGCGCGCACTCGCTCACATAAATAAAAACAAATATTTCTTTAAAAAAAAGAAAGAAAACACTCTGGTGAAAACATATGAATCAAAAACTAATCATAAAACCCAGAACGAACATCAAGAAAACCAGGCTTTTGAGGGCAGACATCAGGCAAGAGTTCTATTTTTCCAGAAGGGCTGTCAAAGACCCGAGGCTGACCTGAGCTAGGCAGACTTCTTCGACTCAGATTCTGAGGCCTGACCTGGGTAGGCTCACGCTACCAGATACAAGAAGTGAAAACACAGCATGAGGTGAGGAGGGAACAGAACGCTTAGAAACCAGGAACATCCCAAGCAGGGTCAAAGACCACACAAACCTGCTCAACACCCAAAACGAAACCTAAAAAGAGACATTGGGGGTCTCAGGGGACAGCTCAGTCAGTAAGGACCAGGGTCTGAGCTCAATTCCCAGAAATCATGTGAAACAAAAGAGCTAGGCATGATGGAGCACGGGTGTAATCCCAGCACCGGGGAGACAGAGGGCTTGCTGAGAGACCCTGCATCAAAAGAAATAAAAAAATAAAGAAATAAAGTGGGCAGGGTATGAGGAATGATACTCAAAGCTGTGCTTTGACATTTACACACAGAGACATGCAGAGAGAGAGACAGAGACAGACAGACAGATACACATATACCCTCACATATATGAACTTGCATATACATACAAGATACTGGGATGGGGGCATGGTTCAGTGGTAGAGCACCTGCCTAGAATCCCCCAGTGAGGGACTGGGGGTGTGGCTCAGTGGTAGTGCACCTGCTTAGAATACCCCAGTGAGGGGCTGGGGGTGTAGCTCAGTGGTAGAGCACACCTGCCTAGAATCCCCCAGTGAGGGGCTGGAGGTGTGGCTCAGTGGTAGCGCACCTGCCTAGAATCCCCCAGTGAGGGGCTGGAGGTGTGGCTCAGTGGTAGAGCAGCTGCCTAGGATCCCCCAGTGAGGGACTGGGGTGTGGCTCAGTGGTAGAGCACCTGCCTAGAATCCCCCAGTGAGGGGCTGGAGGTGTGGCTCAGTGGTAGAACACTTGCCTAGTATGTACAAAACCCTGGCTTCTGTCCTTAGCACAGGAAACAAAATAAGAAGATACTCATCAATGATTGAACACGAAATGTCCCCCACAGGCTCACCTGCTGAAGGCTTGGTCCTCAGCTGGTGGCTTTTTTACTAGGTTCTGACAACTTTGGGAAAGGGGGGCCTATTTGGAGGAAGTAGGCCACTAGTGGGCACCTCTGTAGGTCATGCCTGACCCTCAGTCTCATCCTTGCTCCCTGCTCCTTTCCCCCACGAGGTGAAGAACCTTGTCTACCAGCTGCTCCCATCACTGTGATGTTCTGCCTCACCATAGATGGTTTCTGTTAGGTAGTTTGTCACAATGTCAAGAAAATTAACTAATGCAGTCCCCAACCTGAGTACTGGAAAGACCCACAACATGGGATGTAGAGGGGTGCTCACCCCCATAAATCAGAGATCCCAGATGCCACTGTTATTTTTGTGTATGTGTCTGTGTCCATGTGAGGGTGTGCATCTGTGAGTGTATGTCATGTGTGTAGTGACTGCAGAAGCCATAAGAGGGCATCAGATCCCCTGGAGCTGGAGTTACAGGCAGTTGTGAGTCACCCCATGTGGATGCGGGGAACCAAACTTCACTCCTCTGAAAGAGCAGGAAGCACTCTTAACTGCTGGCCATCCCTCCAGCCCCAAGTTCACATTTAAAACTAACCACACTGGGCCTGGAGAGATGGCTCAGTGGTTAAGAATACTGGTTGTTCTTGCAGAAACCCGAGTTTGAATCCCAGCACCCACATGGCAGCTAACAACTGTCGGTAACTCTAGTTCCAGGGGATCCAACAGTCTCTTCTGTCCTCCGCTGGCATTGCATGACACAGGTGCACTTACCTACATGCAGGCAATACACTCATACACATAAAAAATAAAAAATAAAAATAAATAAAATAATCACACTATGCATGAGTTCACATGTCCCCTGTTTCCAAAGGAGTAAGCATCCAACTGAGCAGATGTGGGCTGCTGGGGCCCAGGGGAGGAACATGGTATTTGCCTCTGGTAGTATTCACAGCCAACAAGGAAGTAAGTGAGGTCAATAGCCATCTAGGGTACTCTGCACGAAGGCATGATTCATCATGGACACGCGACAGGAGTTTGAGAAAGGATTACAACCCAGGCTGCAATCCCAGCAGGCTTCCTCCAGGCAGCAGCTTGGGGTAGGCCCCGGAAGATCATGCACATTCAAGGCATGACATAACACACAGCACAGGGGTTTGTTAAACTGAGCAGGTTTGTAACTGACTTCCTCTACATGTCTCCTCTGTCGGTCACAATTCTGGCATCACTCATGCCTGAAGGCAACGCTCAGGATCAATGCACTTACAATGCCGTGGATCTGGGCCGCCTTGCTACACAAATCCGGTCGCCACTTCTGAAGAGCCAGGTAGAAAGGATTTTTCAGCAGATCTTCATCATACAGAGCCATATGGACTTCAGAGTGGTCAGAGTGAGCTTCCTGAGACAAGGGAAGAAAAAGCAGTAAGCAGCAGTCTTCAGGTCTATGGAATATGGACCCCCGTCCTCGGCTGGCCAGTTCTTTTTTAAAACAGGGTCTCACAAGGTAGCTCCAGCTGGCCTAGAATTCGCTATGTAGACCAGGCTGGCCTCAAACTCACAGTCACTTGTCTCTCCCTCCTGAGCACTGGGATTAAAGGTGTGCACCACCATGCATAGCTGCAAAGTATATTTTTAGAAATCATACCTGACCAAAATTAGGACGTACTAAATTTGGGGTTTTTTTTGAGACAGGGTCTCACCATGTGGCCCAGGCTGGTCTCAAGCGATCCTACCTCAGTTTCTGGAACAGCTGACATTGAAGGTGTGTGCCAGCACTCCCAGGGATTCATGTACTTTTAACTTTTTAAAATTATATTACGTGTATGTATTTATGAGGGGGCGCATGTGCCACACTATGTGTGTTAGAGATCAAAAGACAATTGGTGGGAGTTGGTTTTCTCCTTCTGCTGTTAAGCTCAGGTCATCAGGCTTGGCAGCAAGCATGGTTACCCTAAGTCATCTCACTGGCTTGTTTGTCTGTTTTGTTTTTGTTTTGAAGCAGAGTCTCCCTATAGCCCCAGATGGCCTGGAACTTGCTGTGTAGACCAGGCTGGCTTCAATCTCACAGAGATCCACAGGCCTCTGGAGTGTGCCATCATGTGGTACCATTGCTGGACCTTTATAATGAAATAGTTTAACCATTCAGAAAAGTATCAGGAGTAATGTAAATCTACTGTCTAGATTTAACCAGTCTTAACCTTGAGCCATACATGCCTCAGGCGTTTAAAAAATAGACTATTAGAGTACACTGGGATTCCCCCATCTTAGCTAAGGGATCGTGTTGGACCACCATCACCCTGAAATAGCAGGTCTATTTTCCTTGTCCACACTCCTATGCCTTGAATACATAGATATTAAAAACAATAAAAGGGGGCGGGCTGGAGAGATGGCTCAGCGGTTGGGAGCCCTGGCTGCTCTTGCGGAGGACCCCAGTTAGGTTCCCAGTACCCACATGGTGTTACTGTAACTCCAGTTCCAGGGGATCCAATGCCCTCTTCTGGCCTCTGGGGACATTGCACAAATGGGTACATTTTCATACAGGCAGGCAAAACAGTCATACTCATAAAACATAAATAGACAATTAAAAGTAGTTTTGTGGGCTTTGAAATTCATAGAAATAGTACCAATAGGTTACTGTCCTGAAATGCACCCTTTTCAACTAACATTATGCTTTCAATTTCCATGTTTCCAGTGTTTCCATGCTGGGCCATTCAAGTTATAGTCATTCATTGAATTCTGCTGTAGTTTTCCTACACATGAACGTGTTACAACTTATCTAATACACTATACTGCCTCTGTGTGTGTGTGTGTGTTAAGCGATTGTGCCCAGGGCTTCATGCATGCTAAGCATGTGTTCCCCCCACTGAGCTGCACTCCCAGTCCCTCTAAAAGCCTATATTTAAGGGCTTCCTCCTTTGTAGATTTACACTGATGTGACGAGCACTCTCAGAGCTTGTATGTGTTCCTTGAAGTGTGCACCCACACAAAGCACCGAAGCATGCATTCATCTACAACCACGGCAGACACCAGCCACACAGGATCACTGTGTATCCCAGGAAGCCTCTGAGCACTGCTGTCCCTCACAACACAACCTAATCAGCTCTACCATCAACACATTACTTACTCAGTTTCCATCTGTGCTATGACTTGAACATTTGTCTCTCTCACAAAACGCATAGGCTAAGATACCTTCTGTCTTTTGGCCACTTTTCTACTGGGTTATTGGCCTTTTTCTTATGATTTACAATTCTTATTAGGTCTTTTTGAGACAGTCTCCCTGTAGCCCCAGCTGCCCCGGAACTCAATGTAGACCAGGCTAGCCTTGATCTCACAGAAATCCACCTGCCTCAGTCTCTGCCTCCTGAGTGCTGGAATTAAAGCTGTGCACCAGCACACTCAGCTATTTCTGTTATTTTTTAATTATGTATTATGCTGGTGTTTGTAAACTTGGCACAACTAGAATCACCTGGGAACAGGGCCCCTCAACTGAAGAATTTCCCAGGTCAGATTGGCCTGTGGCCGGATCCATGAGGCACTTTTTTTTCTTTCTTTCTTTCTTTGTCTTTTTGAGACAGGGTCTCCCTGTAGCCCCAGCTGTCCTGGAACCCACTATCTAGACCAGGCTGGCCTTGAACTCGCTGAGATCTGCCTGCCTCTGCCTCCCGTGTGCTGTAACTACAGGCCTGTACCACCACACCCAGCTCTGAAGCACTTTTTTCAACTGCTTGTTGGTGTAGGAGGGCCTAGCCCATTGTGGGTGGTATCATCTCCAGGCAGGTAGGCCTGGGCTGTATGAAAAAAACTAGCTGAGCAAGTCAGGGTTCCAACCCTGACCTTCCTCTATGATAGACTACAAAGTATAAAAGAAACAAACCCTTTTCATCTAAAGTTGTTTCTGGTATTTCATCATAGCAATAGAAAACAAACTAGGGTATGTGTGTACATGTGAGTGCAGGTGTTTGCAGAAGCCAGAAGAGACTATCAGATGCCCTGGAGCTGGAATTACAGGCAGTTGCACGTCACTGAACATGGGTGCTGGGAACTGAAGAGGACTCATGTTCTCCATAAGAGCAGTATAGGTTCTGAACCATTTGTCCTCTCTCCACCCCCTGATTTACAGCTCTTTATGTACCTGGGTAGTTAAATGTGTTCCAAATTTCTTCCAGCCTATGACTTTTCATCTTTCCAAATGGGTGTTTTCAGACAGGTTTATTTTAATTTTTGTCTTCATGCATTTGGATTTGCCAGTCTTTGCCTTTATGGTCAGTGCTCTGGGGATCATAGGAAGTCTGTGCCAATTCTCTGCCAGGTCCCCTTTGCAAAGGGACTTCCTCCTATTTAAGGTGAGGTCTATCTCCCTGCCTTCTGGGGTTTTGAAACTGATGTTTTGTTTGTTTGCTTGCTTAGTTGTGGTTTTTGTTTGTTTGTTATTGTTTTAACGGTTTTTGTTGTTTTTTGTTTTGTTTTGTTTGCTTATTTAGTTGGTTGGGGATTTGTTGTTGTTTCATTGTTGTTTTCTTTGGAGGCAGGGTCTCAAGATGTAGCTCTGGCTGGTCTGAAACTATGTAGACAGTTTCAGAGCTCCTCCTGCCTCTGCTGGAATTAAAGGCATGCACCACCATGACCAGCCTAAGTGGTGGCTTGGGTTTTTTTATTTTTATTTTTTTCATGTTTATGAATGTTTTGCCTGCCTGACTGTAAGTGCACCTCATGTGTGCAGTTCTCATGGAGACCAGAAGAGGGCAGAAGATCCCATGGAACTGTAGTTAGGAACAGTTGTTAGCCACCATGTAGGTGCTGGGAACTGAATCCAGGTCCTTTGCAAGAGCAGTCAGTGTTCTTAATTACTGATCCACCTTTCTAATCCCTAAGTGGTTGGAGTTTTTGAAGCAGCAACTCACTATGCAGCCCAGGAAATTTACAACTCATGATCCTCCTGCCTCAGCCTCTCTAGCTCTGAGATTATAGGTTTGCACCACCTATGATCTCTGAGATTATAGGTTTGCCCAGTTTTCTCTGTTTTTTCATTCTGAGCCAGCCCTGTGACCTGCTTTAACTGGCAGACAGAACTGACATGGCTGTGATTTCTGAGTTTTAGCCTTGAGTTTAGCCTCATTCTCTGGGTACTCTGAGAACAGTATGCTGGGAAATAGCCTGAGAGACAAAAGACCAATGGAGGAGAGAGAGAGATGCCCAGGTGACCTAGTGAGCACAGCCAACTGCCAACAAAATGCAGTCACACCCACAAGCCAGGTGACACCAGCAACAACCAGCCAACCCACCTGAGAGTGGGAATAATGAAATTAGGTCAGATGTAAGCAACTAAGCATGGGTTGGTTTGCAACACAGCAAACGCCACTTGAAGCCATGTGCTCTCCAACTCCAATGCACAAATATAGTCCCTGTAACTTTTTTAAAAAATCTTAAGCTTTACCACATTTTCCTCTCCAACCCATCTGGATTTTATTTTTATATAAGCTATAAATTCAGACTGTAATTTTACTTTTCCATATGGTAATCTAATTGTCCCATCATCATTTGGGGAATAGTCTCTCCCTTTCACACCAGATGATAGAGCTATCTCTGTCACACTCCACATTCCTGTGTATGTCTGTCCTGTTTCCAGGCTCTACTTGTGACTCAATGGTCTAGACCAGGGCTGGCCAAAAGTCGTATGTGAGAAACAGAATTACCACACATAATAGGATTACATACGTAATTTCAGAATTAAAACACACACAATTGCTTATATAAGTTCAGAATACACACGATTACCTATGTAATTTCAGAATTACATGTACATAAATATGATTATATATGTAATTTCATTGTATTTGTCTTGTTTCTATTGTGCTGTTGAGATGGGGTCTCACTATGTTGACCATCTGATTTTTGTGACTCAACCTTCTAAGGAGCTGGGACAACACTGTGGGTCACTATGCCTGACACATACATACATAATAAACATTTTCTACATTGCTACACTTAAAAAGAAACAGCTGAAATTGATTTTAAAATTTAAAAAATCTTATTTTTATTTTATAAGTATTTTGCCTGCGTGTGTGAAAAGACACCACATGTGTACAATGCCTAAAGAGGCCAGAAGAGGGTGTTGGATCGCCTGGAACTGGAGTTATGGGTGGTTGTCAGCCACCATGTGGGTGTTGGAAATCAAACCCAGGTTCTCTGGAAGAGCAGCCAGTGCTCTTAATGGATGAGTCATCTCTCCAGCCCTTGATTTTTAACATTTTAAATATCTTAACCTATCCAAAATATATTTTCAACATATAATCGTTTTTTAAAATAACTGGAACAGCGAGATAGCTCACTCAGTGGGTAAAGGCACTTGCTGTTAAGCCTGATGACCTGAGTTTGATCCCCAGAACCCACACGGTAGAA